AACAAAAGCAGTTCTTAGAATTCCATTTATGTGAAGTAATTGAATATTCTAATCTATCAACTATCTATTTTATTTTTAAATAAAATTAAAATTTTAACTGATTGTAAATATATATTATAATTATTTTTATATTTTAATTAACGTAATAATATATAATTAATAAAATTAAATTAAATTAATAATATTTACAGTAATTATTTATCTAAAACTTTTAGATACTTAGTTGAATGCAAATATATAAATATAATAGTTATTTATTTAATTATTTGATTAATTATGCAATATATAATTATTGATATATTTTTTTATTTTTTACATCACTAAATTTTTTAAAAAATAATGTATGATAAATTATATATTTTTTATAAAAAAAAACTATCTTATTTCTATAATATTCCTGTTTATATAAAATAGTATTTTTATTATTATTATATAATTATAAAAATTATTTTAAAATTATGTATTATACGTATCACATGCTTAATATAATAGATGTACATCAGATTAATATTTAAATTAAAAATATCGATATAAAATCTACATAAATGAAATAAGAAAATTTCTTGGGCCTTTAGCAATCACAAAACTTATGGTTTAGCTTTTTGTCAAACATTAAATCTTCAATTTCCAATCTTATTTTCCTAATTTTAATTTTTTGACGCGTATGTATGTTCTATAACATATATATGTAAGATATATATATATATATAAGAAACTAAGAGTTAAATTACTTGTATTTAATTATCATAGAAAAAGTCACATGTATTAAATGTGAAAGAGTTATCAAATTACGAAACTATAATATCTTAAAACAATTAAAAAAAAAATTAACCTTTAAGTATATTTTCACAAAAAAGAAATTACAGAATTTAATATTATTATTAATAAATTTTTTTAAAAATAAAGATATAATTATTTCGATCAAATACTTTTACAAAAATAAAATTTTCAATAAATAAAACCTCTTTAATTCATTTAAGATTTAAATTTAAACATTAAATTATATGGCTTCTATACACGTCGACAACCAATACGAACGACGTAATTCAATCTGAAAATGGGCCCCACTTTCTTCCCGTTCAAGCCCCACTTTCAAAATGTTACCGTTATAAAGGCTCCGGGACGAGAAAGTTTTTTGAGCCCCATTAAACTAGCCGTTACTCTCTCTGCATATGCCTCCCTCAAACCCTAATCTCTATATCTCTTCTAACCAACCCCATTCTCTGGTTTTATCTTTATCACTCCCCTAAGTCTCATTTTCTACTTGCTTTGCTTCTTCTGGAGACGTTTAATTTTTGGCCGTAAATCCCACCCGAAAAAGCTTCAAATCGGAATATATCTCAAGTTTGTTTGAAAAACAAGACCTGCAATTCCCTTGATCTTTTGAGAGGGAAAAAAACCATAGAGTTCTGTCTGTAATTAATCTGTAAGGTAAGATTGAAAAGCGAGCATATGGCATCAAAAACAGTAGCCCGAGACATCATCACTCTTCGCGGATCAGCGGCTATCGTCAGCGAGTTCTTCGGTATGTTACTGTCTCCTTTGACATTTTTTTAAAACCTATTGCCCTACTTATTATCTCAAGTTTATGCGAACTCACGATGATTGTCGCATCTTTTTTGACCTATTTTCAGGTTATGCAGCGAACAGGTAAAGTTGATTGATAGGAAGTCTGGTTTTTATTCCGATTGCTGTCTTTTTCGTTGCTTCTTTGTTGATTGAAAATTATTTGATTACGATTGGTTAGTATACTCTACAATCGAGGAGTTTATCCAGAAGAAAGTTTCGTAAAGGTTAAGAAGTATGGACTTCCAATGTTGCTTACTCAGGATGAGGGAGTAAAATCCTTCATTGCCAGCCTCACTGCTCAGCTTTCCGGTAAGATTCTGCCTCTCGTTTCAGAGTTGTCTAGTTTTATCAGGAAATGAAGCTTTTTTTTAGGATTAGGACGTTATTATCAGTGGTAGTGAGTTACTCTTGTTTTGATTATCCAAGTTCTTAGAAGCATGAAGCTGAACAGTATAAACAGTTGCGTAAAAAGTACTAGAGGATACGTTTTGACATGGATTTAATTTTGATCACTGATTTATTTGAGTCTCAAATTTTGGTAAAGAATGGCTTGAAGCTGGGAAGTTGCAGAGGGTTGTTTTGGTGATAATGAGCAAGGCAACGAATGAGGTTTTAGAAAGATGGAACTTCAGCATTGAGACTGACAGCGAGGTCGTGGAGAAGGGGTAATTTTGATTCTTGTTTCCCTCCCTGTTCTCAAACGTTACAGATTTCGTTCTCGAATGTGATGTTCACCATTTCTTTTGGTTTTGTACTCTGACTCAAATTTAGTGTTTCAAAGGAAAAGAGTGACAAAGAAATCATGAGAGAGATTCAAGCAATCATGAGACAGATTGCTTCCAGCATCACTTACTTGCCTTGTCTTGATGAAGCCTGTAAGAACCATGTTGGCTATTTAGAAGGTTACTTGGGTTTGTAGTTGAATGTGTTGAAAAAATTTCTAACTGGTCTGCTTGGATTAGGTGTGTTCGATGTGCTAGCTTACACGGATACAGATGTTGCAGTCCCATTCACTTGGATAGAGAGTGACCCAAAGTTAATTGCAAATCCGCAGATGGTGAAATTACATTCTTTTGATACCAAGGTGAGGGGATATAATGTACTCTTATTCTGTTGAAAATTCAGTTTAAAAGCTTTAGATGGTTGAAGCTTCAATTTACACTGGTCTTCATGTTTTTGCAGATTCACAAGGTTGACACTCTTGTATCTTACAAAAATGATGAATGGGATGAACAGTAAAAAGCTACCTGTACTCTTCCAAGTCTTGTTTTTTTGTTTTCACTTCGTCTGCAGCCATGACTCAGGGGGGCTGTGAATCTTTTATTCACAGATTGTGTGCTTCGGCATTGTCTGGATTTCAGGCTTGATTCTCCCGAATTAAGTCAATGCAACTTTTTATGTTTTACAATGAGTTTTTTTTTTCCCTCTACTTCGTAAAATTTTCTTCACCAATTTAAACCTTATTGAAATAAGTAGTGTACTATACGTAAAGTCTTCCAAATAGATGATGTGAAGTGTGGATGATGGAGGATTAAAGAGCTTTTGAAAAGATAGATAATGCAAATAAATTTGACACACACCATAGTCGATGGAGAGAGGATTTAAAAAGCTTTTGAAAAGA